ATGAGAACAGAAATTGTGCTCCGGTGGCACGGCAGCAGCAGGAGGCTCCATTAGCTAAAGTGGTGCTTCAGGTTAAGAACGGACCTCCAGAACGAATTAAGTACTTAACCCGAGGTACCACTGTACTTACATCACAGGAGCTACACATCATAAAACACAGTTGCTGTATGTAGGTTTTATTTTATTTGTTTTTTATCTTATATTTTGGAATCGTATATCGAGGTTTTTTCCCTTTAAATTTTTTTGGGGCCCCCAAGAGAGTGGAGCCCTAAGCTATAGTTTGTTTAGCTTATATGTAAATCCGGCACTGGTGTGGCTTGTTGAAGTTCACACTGAATATGGGACAGAGGCAAGCTCTGAATTAGAAAGTGGGTTGCCAACAAATCATAAAATAACAACTTGGCCCACTCCTGTGACTTTTGCAGCTTGATCTTTGAAAATGAGCAGGTTAAGCATTCACTGCATCATCAGATGGTGACAATATCTGGAGTCCAAGTTTCGTTTAGAGGCACATGAGCAACTTCAATTAGGGACATTCTGGCTCAATGCGCAAGCGTTTAGCTGCTGCCCCACACTTAAGCAGAGCCACAGCCTATTGCTCTCATGTCAGTCAAAGGGGCCAAGGGGTCAGGAAACAAGAATTCATGTCAAGGAGCTATATATTATCACCTACTTCGCTTCAGCAAGGTCAGCCTAGGCGTGTGATGTTAGATGTGTCTCTCTTCCCACAGCTGGGTCCAAAATCAGGACCGTCTGTGGTGCAAAGTTTGCTCCAGTGTGGTGTAGTGGTTAAGAGCGGTAGTCTCCTAATCTGGTGAACTGGGTTCGATTCCCCGCTCCTCCACATGCAGCTGCTGGGTGACCTTGGGCCAGTCACACTTCTTTGAAGTCTCTCAGCCCCACTCACCTCACAGAGTGTTTGTTGTGGGGGAGGAAGGGAAAGGAGAATGTTAGCCGCTTTGAGACTCCTGAAGGGGAGTGAAAGGCGGGATATCAAATCCAAACTCTTCTTCTTCTTCCACTGATAACCACATGTTCAAAACTGTCAAATAAAACACCATACGGGAAAATGGGTTGAAAAACACTTTCTCTCACAGTGCAGTCCCAGTCTGGGTCAGTTGTGAGTTTAAAGGAAGAAGAAGAAGAAGAAGAAGAAGAAGAGTTTGGATTTGATATCCTGCTTTATCACTACCCGAAGGAGTCTCAAAGTGGCTAACAACCTCCTTTCCCTTCCTCCCCCACAACAAACACTCTGTGAGGTGAGTGGGGCTGAGAGAGTTTAGAGAAGTGTGACTAGCCCAAAGTCACCCAGCAGCTGCATGTGGAGAAGTGGGGAATCGAACCTGGTTCACCAGATTACAAGTCCACTGCTCTTAACCACTACACCACACTGGCTCCCAATCACAGGATTCAAAGATGTGGCCAAAATCACATCTGGCTTGACGCAAAAGAGGCAGCTGGCAACAAGGACAAACCCGAAAGCCGGCAATCGAATCAGAAAGACCTCTGGAAACGAAGGTGAAATTTATGCTCACACTCGCAAAGCTGGAGTCTTAAACTGAACATGTGCCTGCACAGACAGAGAAATGTGCAACCGTTGGTTAGGGGTAGGGTGGGGAGATTGTGTTAGAAGTGCCTGTGGTAGATGGTTTGGGACCCTTGAGGGAAACAGGATACTTCCTCCTCTTCAGTCTTTTGCAGTGAAAAAAGAATTCGGCTTCTTCGGAAGCTATTCTCACCATGGGTCCAGCTCTAATCCCATTTTAATCTCAGTGGGCTATATTAAACAAAAGCAGAAGGTCTGGCGTTTGAAACTGATTAGCCCTGACCTCGCAGAGATCAGACTAAGTAATCAGGTGTTCTTGGATTGCTGCTGAGAACAGTTTCTCCTTATGCATTGTGGGTAGAAGCAGCAGCTACAGCAGCAGCAGCAGCAGCAGCAAAGAAAGCAACACAAAAACTTCTGCTAGTGTAGCAGAGGAGGCATCATGGCCAGGAAATGTTCTAAGGCAGAGGTGGGCAACCCCAAATGTTTCTGGGCTACAAGCCCCACCATCCCTGATAAGATGGTTGAAAAGGCTGGGAGCTGGAGAAGCAGGCACCCCCCACCCCTATTCTGAGATATTTAGGTGTTTTTGAATTGTTTAGCAGAGTTTGCACCCACAGCTCGGATGCTGGCTGCGTATTGAAGACTTGCATTAAGAACGGACCTCCGGAACGGTACCACTGTAGATAAATAGGTACCTCTCCGGCGGGAAGGTAAACAGCGTTTTCCAGGAAAAACTGTCTGCGGACAAACGTCGCCTCCTTCGGCCAGTAAAGCGAAATGAGCGCCGCAACCTCAGAGTCGTTCACGACTGGACTTAACTGTCAGGGGACCTTTACCTTTACCTTTAATGTGCACATGCTAGCAGGTGAAGCACAGCCACTTAATTAAGCAGCTGTTAAAAGCACAGTTGCAGTGACAGGTGGGAAAGGTGGCAAACCTCATGTAACCCTGCCGTGTGGTATTGTGTGGCACATTTCAGTTCTGAAAAGTTCCCCTTGTCCATCATCTCTCCAAAACACCATGTGCTCTGGTGGGTTATATGGTCAAAAGATCCTGCATTTGTGGAAATGCTGAGAGTATGTTAAAAAGGGAAAGATTTCCCTGCATGTCAGGGAAAAGGAGCTTATGTAATTGGCTTTATTGTTGTTGTTCAGTGACATTTACAAAACCTTTGTATTATTTATGGATGTGCGCTCTCTGCCTCTCTCTAATGTGCACAGCTCAACACTCATGGGATATATCTGGACTGTTTTGAAAGCCACATAAAGCTCCAGTTAGATACGAGCTTCTCGGAAAGGTCTGTCAACAAGCTATTGAGCAAGAAATAAACATAACAACAACAACAAACAACAACAACAACAACAACAACGCCACTTCTAGCATTATCTTGCTGCTGAATACCTGAAGTATTGAGAATATCGAACAAAATCAGAAAGATCACACCAGTTCTGCTTTCCTCTTGGCCTTATTCAAGCATTTTTGAAAATGTGGGGGAATGAAGTTTATGGGGTGAAATCTGCACAATCTCAAAGAATCCCCTTCAGACTTTCTGGCTCACAGACCCTCCAAGTGTCCCTATTTTCCAGGGACAGAGGGGAATGGCTACGGCTGTATTTTCCTGCACATCCATTCAACAGACCGATGTGCTCTCTGGGACATGACCAAGAAATCCGCTGCGTGAAGTGATCATTAGCAGAACATTTGATCTAGCAATGTGCCGTAAAAAACAGGGTTAAAATTTTTAAAACCCACGCACGACCTATTTCACATTCCGCCTCCTTTCCTTAGTTGTTTCATAATTGTTAAAAGCTTTCAATAAGTTATTCTGGAGTGAGCTAAGCACTGTTATGATTGGGTTTCCAGCAATATCTGGTGGAAATACATCTACAAGGTGCACTTGGTAAGGTTTGTTTTGACACTGGGTTTTGGCTGGGATAATCTTCTGCCACCACCTAGTGGAGAGAAAATAGATGATTACAAAAGTTCCGTTCTCAAATAACTCGCTTTCCCCAAAGCTTAGAAGATATTTCCCTTTTCTAAACTTACTGGAAAGGTGGTACAGGAAGGGATATAGCTTGGTGGCAGAAACCCTACTTGGCAGGCAGAATGTCCTGGACTCAACCGGCAGCATCTCCAGGGAGGGCTGGGGAAATATCCCTTCCCCAAATCCTGGAGAGCCACATCCAGTCAGAGTGGGCAATATTAAACTAGATAGACCATAGGACCAACCCAACTTCCCATGTTCCTATGTTCCTTTCTAGTTTTCAATATAGTTTCATTAAAATATCCGGGGCAATGCTTTGAATAACAATGCAAATTGGCAATGCATTGATTTAAGGACATGTTTTCGGTCCTTAAGTGCAAAGAGCTGTTATTGTCACATTCAGACAGCCTGGAAGATTTTCATCTTATCTCATCTCAAGATATAGGGTGCTTCCAGACAGATGTTTATTATGGGATGGGTGTTTTTGGGATGTCCACATGATGTCATTGGCATCAAAACACCAGCTTGAATTCCTGCCTCCTCCCCCATTTAATCTAGATCTACCCTATGGGGGGCGGGGGGGAATCCAGTAGGTTAAATAAAAATGAAAATGAAATTACTTTGCCAGCAATCCATTTGCGAGATCTATCCCCCTCTTCCGCAAAGAAAAAGGGGAAACCAAATGGGCGGGTGAGGAAGCTGCGTACGCTATGAAAACCTATTTCACTGAAATTGGTCGGACACTGAGTTCGATAATAAAACCATCTTAATATTGCACAAAAGGTCAGGCATAGTGCAGGCCAAATGTACTAAGCCATAATTTCAATTGTCAGGATTTTCAAAATGAAAGCAATAAATTATAGGCATTCTTGTGTCTTGGGGAAAAAAATCGATGCTGTATGTTCTCTCTGCTTCCCACCCCCACAGCTTTCCTGTGCAAATTTCTCCTTTTTCTCTCCTGTAAGTTTTCAAAGAAGAACCGAGTTACGGCAAACAGCCTGAAAACTGGCTATTAGTTATTTTTCACTTTAAAGAAGATTAGGACTGGGCAAAGCTGCATCACCATAGGCTGATGTCCCTCTTCTTGTGGGTTCAATTCGACTCCCCCTGGCGCCCTATAAAATATTTTGGACTATAGTTCCTGTCCAACTCAGACCATACGCTGCTGATGGGAGCTGTGGTTGAAAGGAGCTGGTGATTTCTGCTTGCAGTGGACAAAGGAGTCAAAGGCTAAATGAGGAAGTCAGATGAGGAAGAAGTAGAATGGCTAAATTTACTAATAAGGACCCTTAAAAAAAAATTATCTAAGTGCTGAACACATAACTGGAGAATAAAAACAATAACAGCAAAACCATACTACAATAGAAAAGCACAGCAAACTCAAGAAAAAACCAGCATAAAGCCCCTGATGCAAATCCAGCACAATAAAACTGTAAATTAGTAGGTAAGTAACCTGTAAGACTTAAGTCTATTGAGATAGCTCAGTTGGTAGAGCACAAGAGTCTTAATCTCAGGTTTGTGGGTTTGAGTCCCACATGTGATGAAAGTTTTCTGCATTGCAGGGTGTTGGACTAGAGAAGCCTCAGGTTTTTTTTCCCAACTCTATGGTTCTATTATTTCAGTGGTTCTACTCTGAGTATGGCTCACATGCGCTATAACCCAAAGTGTGTAAGCAACTAAGTGAGCAACAGAGAAGAGAATAAAACAACATAAATGCTATACATTGAAAGTACATGACTTGACCCCAAAGAATCCTGGTACCTCTACTTTCTAAGTCGCATGCTTTGAATGTATGGTGGGCGTGTAGCCGAAGCTAAAGAACAAAGAAATGTACTAAACGAATTAGTAAGACAAAAGGGCTGAATCGTAAACTAACATGCAAGTCAATGAGCGCTTAAAAATGATTGTTTATGGGATGTGTGCTCGGAATCTGGGAGTCTGCGATGGTTTTGGTTCCAGAGAATTTGGCAGTGGCCTCTGGAGACTTACTGACTGATCTACACCCTCTATTATCTACTATTGATTAGCCATAAAAACCGTCACTCTTTTGGTTAATTACATGTTGCAAATGCTCAGGTCATTCGGGGGGAGCTTTGTATTGCTGTTCCCAAATGGGTTGTGAACAGGGTTTGTGTGTGTCAAAGTTCTGCTGAGTGAGTCTTTGGATCACGTCTATCATTTCCCTCCAAGGGCCAGTTCTGCCCCCCCCCCCCGCACTTCGACAAAATGCAGAGATAGCTCCCATCTTTATTACTGGGTTCCTGGTCATTTGGAAAGCCGTTTCCTTTTCTTTCAGGGAGATAAAAAGAGACAGATACGGTTGTGGGCTGAGGATGCTGTGTTCTGGTCAATGAGTCAGGCCACAAAGGTCAATGGCTCTAAGCCAAGCCTGTCTGAGAGCCTCCATAAATTTTCATAGGCAGGAGAAGAAGATTTAAAGGCTGATGTGTGCTGTCTGGGCAGCAGGATGGGGACGAAGCATAAAGCACCACTCTGTAAAGGAGAGTAGCATCTAAAGTCCAATAAAAAATGTTATTACAGGCCACGCAGCCTCTTTCACATGGGGTGGATTTTACCTAGTCAAATCTCCCTCCCCACCCCCCATCTCTGAATAGCTGAGATGTGTTGGTGGGGTGGCACCAAAGACTTTTTTTTATTAAGAAGTCCAAAGGCGAAATTAAGCCAATTTTAAGAATCAACAGCAAATGCCTGACATTCAGATGTGCATTCAAAGGAATGCTTTCACAAGAGGCAGATTACACTGGTGAGATGATCTAAATTTCTCTGCCCAGCCCTTTGTAATTGGAAGAAAACAATGGATTTGGAATTCAGACTACAGAGTCACAATAATATATACAAATCTCCATAGCGATAATCTCCCTGCAGACTTAATAATGGTTGCCATCAAGACCGCTTAGAGATTTTTAAAAGAAATATATTAAGCAGTATAGAAATTAAATCATCATCATCATAAAGTGGTTGTATCTTGTTCCATCAGGCAAGCAGAGATGTCTGATGTATGATTTGAATGTGTGACATTTTACTGTGGTTTTATAATTTGTTGGAAGCAAATAAATTGTTGTTGTTGTTGAGTGGTCTGCTTAATGCTACTCAGATTTCTTTCCACAAAATCTTAAAAGGGTCTATGTTGTGAAAGACCAAAAATTTGCAGCCCTTGTTGTTGTTGCTTAGTTGTTTAGTCGTGTCCGACTCTTCGTGACCCCATGGACCAGAGCATGCCAGGCACCTCTGTCTTCCACTGCCTCCCGCTGTTTGGTCAAACTCATGCTGGTAGCTTTGAGAACACTGTCCAACCATCTTGTCCTCTGTCGTCCCCTTCTCCTTGTGCCCTCCATCTTTCCCAACATCAGGGTCTTTTCCAGGGAGTCTTCTCTTCTCATGAGGTGGCCAAAGCCTTGGAGCCTCAGCTTCAGGATCTGTCCTTCCAGTGAGCACTAAGGGCTGATTTCCTTCAGAATGGAGAGGTTTGATCTTCTTGCAGTCCATGGGAGTCTCCTCCAGCACCAGAATTCAAAAGCATCAATTCAGAAGCCCTTAGGATCATGAAATATAAGGGACCTCTGGGGTCATCCAGTCCACCCCCTGCAATGCAGGAATCTCAACTAAAGCATCCAAGATAGATGACCATCCAATCTCTGCTTAAAAACTTTCAGTGAAGGAGAATCTCTTGACTTGTATATGAACTGGCAATTCATATGCTCCACCAGTTCAGCTGCTTCTCTTCCACTTTTCAGCTAAAATGATCACCACATTGGTAGGAGAAGATTGTGGTCAGCAAAACACTTACAGTCAAAAACCAGGCATAATAGCGAACAGACTGAAAAGCGAGTTCAAAATAGCATTTACTGTGGACATTAATAGGCAAGATGTTAAATTGTTTTTATATGCAACAACTGTGGCAAGGGTATTGTTAGCCCAGAAATGGAAACAAGAAGAAATCACGACAAAAGAAGAATGGCAGATGAAAATAATGGATTATGCAAAATTGGACAAAATGACAGGAAGGATTCGAAACCTGTGGGACCAGAGATTAACAGAAGATTGGAAGAAGTATATGAACTATTTGAAAAGCAATTGTAACCAACAAATTATGCTAGTAGGACTACAAAAAGTTTTTTAAGGAGGAATATATGAAGTGCTACAAAGTAGATATAGAATAGAGATATTGGTTATGAGTTTTAAACGTAACAGGGAAAATAAGAAATGTATACTAAGAGATTAGATTGGAAAATTTTCAGACAGGACTGATGGAAGTCAAAAAAATTGAATAAGATGTACAAATATGTTTAATTACTGTTGAAAATGGTATGTTAAAAAAAACTAATAAAAATGTGTGTGTGTGTGTGTGTGTGTGTGTGTGTGTGTATGTAAAGGAACCCCTGACCATTAGGTCCAGTCGTGGCTGACTCTGGGGTTGAGGTGCTCATCTTGCTTTATTGGCCGAGGGAGCTGGCGTACAGCTTCCGGGTCATGTGGCCAGCATGACTAAGCCACTTCTGGTGAACCAGAGCAGCGCACGGAAACGCCATTTACCTTCCCGCTGGAGTGGTACCTATTTATCTACTTGCACTTGACGTGCTTTCGAACTGCTAGGTTGGCAGGAGCAGGGACCGAGCAATGGGAGCTCACCCCGTCGTGGGGATTTGAACCGTCGACCTTCTGATCGGCAAGTCCTAGGCTCTGTGGTTTAACCCACAGCACCACACGCGTCCCATATATATATATATATATATACACACACACACACACACACACACAAAATAGCATTGACTGTAGTTTCAGCAGAGAGATGGCAAAAGGCCTCTGCTTTACACAAAGAAGTATGGAAAGACCAGAGTCCAAAAAGAAAGAAGAAAGGAAACTGCAGACAACAATAATGGGTGTGAGTCTTGAATGTTGTCTATAAATAAAGACAATTAACCCAGTTCCTCTGGCTCTTCCAGGCGCGACTTCTGCAAGCATTTTAAGCCTGATAACCCTATTAAGAGTGGAGTCTAATAAAAGTCTGCGCAAACTCTGCTTAACATCCTTTTATTACTTCACTAGCCTTCTTTGTGCATCTCCTCTAGTTAGTTATTTACGTGGCTTTTTTTTCTCTACCAAAAGCACGAAATAAGCAAGGAATACAGCAAAATGCAATTTGAAAACAATGCAAAACAGTACAAACGGCAGATTTAATTTGTACTCAGATTTGGGGGTGGGGTGGAGGGAGAAGCAAAACTCTAGATGTAAAATCTTCCCAGTGCCCAGCAATATTTGTGCAAGGGCCTTCTGATAAAGGAAAGGCGTTCTCTTTCTAGCAATATTTAAACTGGGAGGTAGGTAATCTCCGATACAGGGCGATTTCAGACTGTTGGTATTTCAGGTGGGATTCATATTCGCAAATTCAGGTTGTGTTGTTATATATATGTGGAGGTCTTGGGCAACAAAACCGCTTCCCAAAAAGATCAGACTTTTTGAGGTAAGAAGGAAAGTGATGGGAAAATTCTCTGGAGAGTATGGGATAGTACAGTTGCACCTTGGAAGTTGAACAGAATCTCTTCCGGACTTCCAAAATGTTCGACTTCCAAAGCGCGGCTTCTGATTGGCTGTAGGAAGCTCCTGCAGCCAATTGGAAGCCACGGAAGCCCTGTCGGATGTTCGGCTTCCAAAAGAACATTAAAAAACCAGAACAATCACTTCTGGTTTTCGATCGTTTGAGAGCTGGAACGTTTGACTTCCAAGGCGTTTGGGAGCCGAGGTACGACTGTACTTGCTTTGGCACAATGTCATCTAACCTCCCCACAAACTAATCAGAAGGAACGCTAATTCAATAGTCAATGTGGTCTAATCTCCCTGCAAACAGATCAGGATGGATGCTCAATGAACAGGACACCCTGGAAGCACCCACAGAAAGTTGGTCTGACTGGGGTGAAGAAAAGGCTTTGCTCATTCACATGCTAGTGGTGGGAACCAACTTTCTTCCAGTTTGTGGGCTTTGGTGCCATCCCTGTGGCATGGCACGACTTTGGGAAGGTTCACCTGGCCTGGTCCAAATCAGAGCCATTCTACAGCCTGTCCTCATCCCCTTTGCCTTTCTTATTCAGACCATGTGAGACAAATCCAAGAAGGTCATTTCCTTGGTTTGCCACCAGATGACAGTGCATTATTTGCTTAAATGGGAAGAAGTGTCCGCGATAATCACAGGGACTTGCATTCCGTGTCAGCAACAGGCCTGCAGAAACTTAATGCCAAAAATTCACGTTCCATTGCAGAATTTCTCCCATGTTTCCCCAGTGCATCTCCAACTACTTTGCTGCAAGGTAGGATAGAAAACTGATCACTAAGCAAATAGATCCCTACAGATTTGCAGAAAAACAAACACGCAAGGAAGTCATGGCTTTGCACTTTTGTTTCTGCGGTCATTTTAGGAGCATTGGTGAAATTTCACACTGGAGACTTGAGTCAGCCATTAACTTTTCAAACGTCCATGAAAATAGATCGTCTTGTATATATTTCTGCATGCCACCCTCCATATGAATTTCTCACTTTTGGAAAGAAGCTACTGTTAAAGGCTGACGACGAGAAAAATATATGCAAAGTTTTAGTCCTGAACTACAATTGCCAGTTTGTGTACATTGTTGTGGATATTTTGGCAGTTAAATCGCTTTCAGTCTGGAGGAGGCACATGTCACAAGCAAGAAAGTGGGATAACAAGTTAAAAGTCCCAGTACTCAAGTTTTTGTTGTTGCAGGTTTATGTAGTAGACAGAGAGGGCGAGAGAGGCAATGTCAGTCACACTCAGAGCAGTAACCAGAGTCCATTGGTTTCAATTGGTCTACGCTATGAGTTAGTTGGATATCACCAAAGAACTCAAAGATAAAAAAATGCAGAGACAGAAAATAGATATCCATCTTACTGTTGCTATCTGATAAGTTCCCAAACGAGTGAGCTTAGCTGCCAGAATTAGACAATTGGGTGGCAATTTATTTATTTATTTTTTGAAAACCCTTCAAATAAAATGACCTCATGTGTCATTCATAAAGGAGGTCATGCATCAGGAAATGGGAGTGGGAGAGGCATTTGGGGCCCAAACAGATATGACGCCATTCATGCAATTAGCACTTGACAGGTGTGTGTGTGTTTCAAAGTAAAAAGCAGCCCACAGGGGTAGACTGGGCTACACTGGAGCTGTGGGAGAATGGGGGCATTTATCTTTTGCTGCCACTATGGCTGCAGTTCTGACCGGGCCCCCACAGCTGCTGTTTGCACCGGGAGGGATTTTCCCACTGGCCCCATGGTCTTGGTTAGAATGTGTCTGAGAGGAAGGAATTTTAAAACACCTTTTTAAGAAGTGCAGCATACTTTATGGGCAACTGTGGCTCTGTGATTCAAAATGAACACTTTTGTAAATATAAAAGACAGTGCAGATGAGAAGTGCCCCATAGCAGTTGTTATATCTGGGCAGGATTTGGGGGGTCAAATGCCCAGAGTCCCATTCTACAGAATGAGCAGGAGGGACCCTGAAATATACTCAGAGTCGAGTGTGAATTTCATGCTCTTTATTCAGCTCATAGTAGCAATGAATGAATCTTTCCCCAAAACGTCTAGCTAGATATACATTATTTACACAATGGGCTCTGTGTGATTGGCTACTTCCGGGCTGTTCCCGCGGGCCAATCAGGTTGCTGATTCACTGCATCCAGGAGCCTAATTGGCTGCTCCTGCAGGCCAATCAGGTCGCTGATTCACTTCCACCTGGAGCTGGATTGGGTGGCTCCTTCGGACCAATCAGACTGCTGCATTCTGGATCCTATTGTTCTAGGATTCAGCTCAGTACATAACAGACCCCAAATTCAGCAGCTACATTTTAAAGTTATACACACTGCAACCTAAAGAGGAGGGCATAAGGCCATTAAGTCCAGACACGAAAACTTTCCAGTTTACATTTGTGATTACTGATTGCAAAGACTATGCGACTCCTCAGCTGAACTGGAGTAGTTGAGCTTAGATTTGCATTGCCTGAATCTTCTGTAAATTAGGGTATTGCTGGATTTTCTATTATTGTTCGATGTACTGCATCATCTAACCCCCCCCCCCCCCACTTCTCTTTGTTCAGACCAACAACAAAGAAACCAGTTTGATGCAGCAACAGCAGAGAAGAAGAGGACAGGTATCCTTGGGGACCTGTACTAAAACCAAACTCCTTTCGCATAATGGAATGCCATGGGAATCAGAGAGTAACCATGTTCCTCATCTGCAGCACGCCAGAGGACAAAGTCTTGTCTTTTATAGATCTTCTGTCATTTTCGCAGAAGAAGCAGGTCACTAAAGTGAGGCGGGAACTCAATTTTTAAGTGGAGAGAGATTTTTTATTTATTTATATGGGGCTTTGTGACGTGTGTGCTTTAGTGAGCATGTTTTCCCTTGATCAAATGCATCAGAACGGTTAGAATCTAATCAGTCAGGAGATCAAAATCGACGGCGATGTTTAAATCTGCCTTTCCTTGATTGCCGGTGACTTGATTGCTGGATGAGGAGAATTGAACCACATCCCCAATGGAGGCACACCTTTAATTTCTCCCATGTACCGTACTTTTCACTCTATAGGATGCACTTTTTCCCCTCCAAAAATTAAGGGGAAATGTGTGTGTGTCCTATGGAGCGAATGCAGGCTCCTTGGCTTCAGCGATAGCAACGCAAAGCCTCCGAAGCGCAGAGGGAGTGCTCCCTCTGCGCTCCGGAGGCTTCGTGTTGCTTTCGCTGAAGCCTGGAGAGCGAGAGGGGTCGGTGCACACCGACTCTCCTGGCTTCAGCGAAAGCAACACGAAGCCTCCGGAGCACAGTGGGAACTTGCGCTGCGCTCCGCAGGCTTCAGGTTCCTTTTGCTGAAGCTGGGAGAGCAAGACTCTCCCGGCTTCAGCAGAGAGGGAGAGCTGCGCAGCGCCCCCTCAGCGAAGCGGGAGGAGAAATGGAAGGGGCTCCATTTCTACTGCCACTTCGCTGAAGGGGTGCTGAGGAGAGAGGGGGTGAATTTTTTTTCTTGTTCTCCCCCTCTAAAACAAGGTGTGTCCTATGGTAGGGTGCGTCCTATAGAGCGAAAAATACGGTAAGTGGCTGGTTACTATTCACCCCATGGAGAAAACACTGTTGTGGTGAGGATAGGACTCACCCTCCATCCTGGCAACCCAGTCTTCACTGACACAGATCACACAAGCAATGCAAGTTTGTCACTTGAGGGGTGAGGAACCTGGTACCCTTCAGATCAGGGCAGTCCAACACGTGACCCGAAAAAAGGAAGGAAGGAAGGAAGGAAGGAAGGAAGGAAGGAAGGGGCTTCCAATCTGCCATCTTTCAGTTATATATATAAAGATTATTCAAAATAAGCAATCCCTCCAGGATGGCATCCAGCTGCTTCTCCTCCTGCTAGGAG